GTGGGAGGGACTCATGGCACTGGTTGCCTCGCTTCTGTCCGTGTGCCCCAGGGCAGCTGTGGCTACATTAGTTTATCGCCACTGTGTTGGAACTGAATGAATAACAACATGTGAAGTGTCTTTGAGCGTCCCCTGAAAAGTGCTAAATGAACCTTTTATATCATCCATCCATCCATTTTCTTCCACTTCATCCGTTGCCGGGTTGTTGGGGCAGCTGTCTAAGCAGAGACGCCCAAACTTCCCTCTCACACACTTCCTCCAGCTTCATTATCATCATCATCATTATTATTGTGATTATTATCATTATTATCATTATTATTATTATCATTAATATTATCATTATTATTGTTATTATTATTATTGTGATTATTATTATTATTATCTCACTTGAGCTGAGTCTTGTTGCTCCTGGCGATCAGAGCCTGAAGCACATGTTTCCTCTGACCGTCTGTCCACAGGTCGAACCAGTGCAGCAGGAGCTCCACACGCTTCTCAAACAGCTGCACGCGAACACACACAATAAATCACAAAAAGCATTGATTTAATATTAGTGTTTCATACTGACAAAGCTGTTATCTGAACTTAGAAGCATGGCTAACCACAGTGAAAGAGTCAATGAACTTAGAAGCATGGTTAACCACAGTGAAAGAATCAATGAACTTAGAAGCATGGTTAACCACAGTGAAAGAGTCAATGAACTTAGAAGCATGGCTAACCACAGTGAAAGAATCAATGAACTTAGAAGCATGGCTAACCACAGCGAAAGAGTCAATGGACTTAGAAGCATGGTTAACCACAGTGAAAGAATCAATGAACTTAGAAGCATGGTTAACCACAGTGAAAGAGTCAATGAACTTAGAAGCATGGCTAACCACAGTGAAAGAATCAATGAACTTAGAAGCATGGCTAACCACAGTGAAAGAGTCAATGGACTTAGAAGCATGGCTAACCACAGTGAAAGAGTCAATGAACTTAGAAGCATGGTTAACCACAGTGAAAGAATCAATGAACTTAGAAGCATGGTTAACCACAGTGAAAGAGTCAATGAACTTAGAAGCATGGCTAACCACAGTGAAAGAATCAATGAACTTAGAAGCATGGCTAACCACAGTGAAAGAGTCAATGAACTTAGAAGCATGGTTAACCACAGTGAAAGAATCAATGAACTTAGAAGCATGGCTAACCACAGTGAAAGAGTCAATGAACTTAGAAGCATGGCTAACCACAGTGAAAGAGTCAATGGACTTAGAAGCATGGCTAACCACAGTGAAAGAGTCAATGGACTTAGAAGCATGGCTAACCACAGTGAAAGAGTCAATGGACTTAGAAGCATAGCTAACCTGCTGCTGTGCTGTTTCCTCTGCTTTTGTCGTGTCTCGCCTGTTTTCTATTATTTTGACTCAATTCATTTTCATATATTTGCGTGTCCCTAAATCACAGAAGCAAAGAAACCCCCCGGAGTCACACTGAGACAGGGGTTCGCTCTCCCATAAACGGACCGGTGAAGATACAAACAAATCTAAGTAAAAAACTGCTCTTATAACAAACGAGCTATGGATTTAAGTATTCATTAGTAATATTGGCTGGTGCTATGAGACTTGGGTGGCATCTCTGACTGCCACCCCCCTGACCCAGAAATGGATTAAAGGTTAGAAAATGGATGGATGGATAGTAATATTAAACACGTAATTAACATATAAGTAATATGTAAGTATAAGTAATAAAAACATAAGTAATATAATAGGAAGTAAAGTCAAATTGAAATGACTCATTTGTCACAGATCTGTGGCTTTTTGGAGTTTACATGAATCTATTAAAACTCTGGGACCTGGCACCGGATGAAGCGGAAGAAAATGTCTGGACGGAAATGATTAAACGTGAGTAATGATGAAAGATATGAAAATTATTAGTCCCACAGAAGTGAAGAGACAGAGAGGGGCAGACACAACACACGTGCACAGCTGTCACGTGCACGGCGGACGGGTCCTGGTCCTGACCTGCAGGTTGTGGGTCTTGTTGGTCAAAGGGGTCCAGGAGCTGAAGAGAGTCCCAGGAGCGCGCACTTGGTCCCGGGGCGCCGCGTAGTCCGTGCCCTGGAGCGGCCACCGCTTTACGGAGTGTGGGGTGGGGCGTGAAGACATTATGGAGACCCAAGACAGGTCTGGACCAGGTCTGAATCCGGTCTGGACCAGGTCTGACCGGGCAGTAGTGCCGTAACCCGGGAGACGCACCACAACACAGCGCATTCCTCCAGTCTGCGCGCTCCCTCCTCAGAGTGAAGACCTGAATAATTAACGTGCGCGCGCGCGCGTGCGTGTGTGTAAGCAGATGGAGAACAGATAATAATAATACATTTTATGAACACTATTAAAGTTTCGAATGTTATTGCTTTGTGTATGAAATGTGCTACACAAATAAACTTGAAAAGTACAAACACGGGCAACAGAAGCAGTGTGACTGGATTTTACTCTCCTGATACTACGGCGCCCCCTGCTGGTCGCCCTGGGGACAGCCGTAGACAAAACACATAAAGTACATAGTTTTTACTCTTGTATTTGTGATTTAATATATTGTGTATTAAAATGTGCTTTCTTTCACTAACGACTCTCCCCAACCTTTTTCAAACAGATTTAAAAGAAAAACAACAATAACATGAGTGATGCTTTATTAGAACGATACATCACTCCCACAGAACACTCAGAAAAACAGAAAAACCCAACGACCAAAAGGCAAAGATATGACCAGTGCAATACAATTAAGGCGGCTTTCTCTCCTCCAGCTTCACTGCACCGTTAAAACAGACTTTACATTCACAGCTGATGGTTAAAGCTATGTTCAGAAAAATATATTATTATTATATGTGTATAATAATATATTATTATTATGTGTCGAGGGGACAGAGATTGCACACGTTAGGAATAGTTTCACATCCGCAGAGGTTTATTGCCAGGGTCTGGAATGCCCGCGTACGGCATTACCGCCTTAAACCTCCAGCCGTGACCAGAGGGTAAAGGTTTAAAGTGCACTCGGATAATTAGGACGCGAAGGAAGCCTGAAACGTTAACAAACGAGAAGCTACTTTGGAACAGGAGAAAATCTACATCAGCGTCTGTATAAATCATATGTATGTGTTTTTTCATCATGAGAATTAATACTTAAAGCTGGGGTATGCATCTTTCAGACCAAATCGATAGAACTCTAATAAACCCAGGTCTCTTAGTTCCCAGCTTGATTTCAGTTTGCCTCCATCACTAGTTTCATGTATTTTTGGTCTTGGTCACTTCTTTTGATCTGCTTTTTTGGACAAAAAAGTGAAAAAGAGAATCAGCCAATCAGATTTCAGTCCAAAGAGACAAACAGTGACTCACAGGGCACTTCTTTTACACACCTCCCCAAAGGTTTCTGACTGGTTCCTTGTTGATGCAGGAGAGTCTCATAACATTTATCAACATTTTATATCTCCAAACAGTTTGATTTTCTGATCTGCTGTTGGGGAATCCACAACTTTAAGTAAAACAAATAGATACATGTTGTGGTTTGATTTGTTCGCACCATTTTACTTTGACAAGACTAGTGACAATTCAGGTCCCCCAGCTTTAACTCACAACAGTCTGATGGCGTCGTTATTTAGTCGACTTGTTTTGATGCGATTCCAGTTCCAGATCTGAGCGTGGATGGAGCTAAACACCGCTGCAGGTCTGTGTCGGATGAGGAACACTCGGTTCAGGTCTCAGTATTGCTCACGCCGTTAAAAGATTAGAAGAAAATAAAAAGGATAAAAATCATTTGTAAAATGGCTATAAATCATAGAAAAGTCACACGGTTAGAGCTACAGATATGTCACATATTCAACATTTTTAAAACTCAATTTGCTCAAATCTGTAAAGGCAGTGATTTAGGCCTGACCCAGACCTCTTTAGGGTCTGGGGACTTCGGCATAGGTCCTCTTTAACTGTCCTGGGACTGTCCTAGTGGACCGCCTTGGGACTGTCTTGGTGGACCGCCTTGGGAATCTCTCGGTGGACCGCCTTGGGATAGTCTTGGTGGACCGCCTTGGGATAGTCTTGGTGGACCGCCTTGGGACTCTCTCGGTGGACTGCCTTGGGACTCTCTTGGTGGACCGCCTTGGGATAGTCTTGGTGGACCGCCTTGGGATAGTCTTGGTGGACCGCCTTGGGATAGTCTTGGTGGACCGCCTTGGGATAGTCTTGGTGGACCGCCTTGGGACTCTCTTGGTGGACCGCCTTGGGACTCTCTTGGTGGACTGCCTTGGGACAATCCTGGCTGTCGGCGAGGTTCAGTTTCTGGCTGCACATACGCGGGTTAAGTACCATTTTTTAGACGTAAACATTGAGCTCAGAGCGGATTTAAACATAATGACAGCTCTGCACAACAGCAGTCTGATACAGCTCTGACTGCAGACGCTGCTCCCTCTGCACCACAACAGTCTAATACACAACCTCCATCTTTCTCTCACTAAGAACCAGACCTGAAACCTGAACTTCTCCACTTGACAAAGCACCTTTGCATCTGGAGAGGACCAGGACCAGGATCAAGACTCATCCCCACTGGGTCCAACCTGCACCGGAACAGTTGCAAACCGTCCCAGTCCTGGTTTGTTGAAGAGATCAAGAGAAACTGGACTGAATCTGGACCTTAACTTTCGTCCCCAAACTCTCTGACCCTAAACTGTGGTCTCCCTCTGGCCTCAGTTATCTTTTAGACAAAAAACATCTGTAGAAGTAGCATAGTTCTATTTGAGACTGCTTTGATCCGGATCAGCGCCAAAGGCCGTGCTTGGACTGATCCTGAAGAATGCTGTGACTGTGAGTACAGTTATGTCAGTAATCTGTGCTTTTCCTTTTCCTCATGTTCCTGAAAACACTTCATGACAAAAGGATACATGGATGAACTCAGCTCCTCCAACTGTGAACACAAAACACCATCAAATCAAACCACCGCCACCGTTTTTATGGGTTCATGGGAAAAAGATAGTATTTAATCAAAATGTGCAGACGGAGTCAGACCTCTCAGAGATCGTGACAGACCTCAAATAGACCGACAGACCTCAAATAGACCGAGACAGACCTCAAATAGACCGAGACAGACCTCAAATAGACCGAGACAGACCTCAAATAGACCGAGACAGACCTCTCAGAGACCGAGACAGACCTCTCAGAGACCGAGACAGACCTCTCAGAGACAGACCTCTCAGAGACCGAGACAGACCTCTCAGAGACCGAGACAGACCTCTCAGAGACCGAGACAGACCTCTCAGAGACAGAGACAGACCTCTCAGAGACCGAGACAGACCTCTCATAGACCGAGACAGACCTCTCAGAGACCGAGACAGACCTCTCAGAGACAGACCTCTCAGAGACCGAGACAGACCTCTCAGAGACAGACCTCTCAGAGACAGACCTCTCATAGACAGAGACAGACCTCTCAGAGACAGAGACAGACCTCTCAGAGACCGAGACAGACCTCTCATAGACCGAGACAGACCTCTCAGAGACCGAGACAGACCTCTCAGAGACCGAGACAGACCTCTCAGAGACAGACCTCTCAGAGACCGAGACAGACCTCTCAGAGACCGAGACAGACCTCTCAGAGACAGAGACAGACCTCTCAGAGACCGAGACAGACCTCTCATAGACCGAGACAGACCTCTCAGAGACCGAGACAGACCTCTCAGAGACAGACCTCTCAGAGACCGAGACAGACCTCTCAGAGACAGACCTCTCAGAGACAGACCTCTCAGAGACAGACCTCTCAGAGACCGAGACAGACCTCTCAGAGACAGACCTCTCAGAGACAGAGACAGACCTCTCAGAGACAGACCTCTCAGAGACAGACCTCTCAGAGACAGAGACAGACCTCTCAGAGACAGACCTCTCAGAGACCGAGACAGACCTCTCAGAGACAGACCTCTCAGAGACCGAGACAGACCTCTCAGAGACCGAGACAGACCTCTCAGAGACCGAGACAGACCTCTCAGAGACCGAGACAGACCGAGACAGACCTCTCAGAGACCGAGACAGACCTCTCAGAGACCGAGACAGACCTCTCAGAGACCGAGACAGACCTCTCAGAGACAGACCTCTCAGAGACAGACCTCTCAGAGACAGAGACAGACCTCTCAGAGACAGACCTCTCAGAGACAGAGACAGACCTCTCAGAGACCGAGACAGACCTCTCAGAGACAGAGACAGACCTCTCAGAGACAGACCTCTCAGAGACAGACCTCTCAGAGACAGACCTCTCAGAGACAGAGACAGACCTCTCAGAGACAGACCTCTCAGAGACAGACCTCTCAGAGACAGAGACAGACCTCTCAGAGACAGACCTCTCAGAGACAGACCTCTCAGAGACAGACCTCTCAGAGACAGAGACAGACCTCTCAGAGATAGAGACAGACCTCTCAGAGACAGAGACAGACCTCTCAGAGACAGAGACAGACCTCTCAGAGACAGAGACAGACCTCTCAGAGACAGAGACAGACCTCTCAGAGACCGAGACAGACCTCTCAGAGACAGAGACAGACCTCTCAGAGACAGACCTCTCAGAGACAGACCTCAGACCTCTCAGAGACCTCTCAGAGACAGACCTCTCAGAGACAGACCTCTCAGAGACAGACCTCTCAGAGACCGAGACAGACCTCTCAGAGACAGACCTCTCAGAGACCGAGACAGACCTCTCAGAGACCGAGACAGACCGAGACAGAGACCGAGACAGACCGAGACAGACCTCTCAGAGACCGAGACAGACCTCTCAGAGACCGAGACAGACCTCTCAGAGACCGAGACAGACCTCTCAGAGACAGACCTCTCAGAGACAGACCTCTCAGAGACAGAGACAGACCTCTCAGAGACAGACCTCTCAGAGACAGAGACAGACCTCTCAGAGACAGAGACAGACCTCTCAGAGACCGAGACAGACCTCTCAGAGCCAGAGACAGACCTCTCAGAGACAGAGACAGACCTCTCAGAGACAGACCTCTCAGAGACAGAGACAGACCTCTCAGAGACAGACCTCTCAGAGACAGAGACAGACCTCTCAGAGACAGAGACAGACCTCTCAGAGACCGAGACAGACCTCTCAGAGCCAGAGACAGACCTCTCAGAGACAGAGACAGACCTCTCAGAGACAGACCTCTCAGAGACAGACCTCTCAGAGACAGACCTCTCAGAGACAGACCTCTCAGAGATAGAGACAGACCTCCCAGAGCCAGAGACAGACCTCTCAGAGCCAGAGACAGACCTCTCAGAGACAGACCTCTCAGAGACAGACCTCTCAGAGCCAGAGACAGACCTCTCAGAGACAGACCTCTCAGAGACAGACCTCTCAGAGACAGACCTCTCAGTGACAGACCTCTCAGAGACAGACCTCTCAGAGACAGACCTCTCAGAGACAGACCTCTCAGAGACAGAGACAGACCTCTCAGTGACAGACCTCTCAGAGACAGACCTCTCAGAGACAGAGACAGACCTCTCAGAGACAGACCTCTCAGAGACAGACCTCTCAGAGCCAGAGACAGACCTCTCAGAGACAGAGACAGACCTCTCAGTGACAGACCTCTCAGAGACAGACCTCTCAGAGACAGACCTCTCAGAGACAGACCTCTCAGAGACAGACCTCTCAGAGACAGAGACAGACCTCTCAGAGACAGAGACAGAGACAGACCTCTCAGTGACAGACCTCTCAGAGACAGACCTCTCAGAGACAGAGACAGACCTCTCAGAGACAGAGACAGAGACAGACCTCTCAGTGACAGACCTCTCAGAGACAGACCTCTCAGAGACAGACCTCTCAGAGACAGACCTCTCAGAGACAGACCTCTCAGAGACAGAGACAGACCTCTCAGAGACAGAGACAGACCTCTCAGAGACAGACCTCTCAGAGACAGACCTCTCAGAGACAGAGACAGACCTCTCAGAGACAGAGACAGACCTCTCAGAGACAGAGACAGACCTCTCCAAAGGTATTGGGAGGGTTAGGGTTGGTAGGTGATGGGAGAGTTCAGTGATTCCTCGCTCACTCACGTTCAGCAGTAGTTTGTCCATGTTGCTGTCGGAGGCGGTCTTCCTCTGGTCCTCGGGCATCAGGTCCACCTCTCCGTGGAGGTCGAACTGGAGGTGGGCCAGCTTCTCCTGCATCTCCCGCACCTGCTCCATCTGCCCGATGGAGCACTCGTTACCTGCCCACACATGAGGCCTTTAGTAAACGCGGGAATGAGGGAATCGAACCCCTTGGCCCGATCATAGAGAATCATTTCAGATTCAGATTCAGATTCAGTTTATTTTGCCATTTGCAGTAAAAAAAACCACATTGGAATACATTAGCAAAAGTCTCCAGTGTGCACAGACAAATACAGACATAAAACAACATTAAAAGACAAAAATAAAACAAATAAAACAGTAAACAAATGTCACTGTGAAATCGATCGACTAAAACAGTTTCAAAACAAGTGCAAATCATTAAAGTGCTCTGTTCACACTGATAACAGCTTGTGGATAAAAACTGTTAGCGTAACGAGATGTCCTGCATCTCAGAGAGCGATATCTTCTGCCAGAGGGAAGAAGCTGGAACATGGCTTTCCCAGGGTGGCCAGAAGAGTCATTAACAATCCTAAGAGCTTTGTTTAAAAGTCTGGATTTATAAAGAACCTCCAGAACAGGAAGCTCACAGCCCACAGTCCTCTTTGCAGAGCGGAGCACCTTGTTTAAAGCTCTCTTTTCTTTATCTGTGATGTTTCCAAACCACACAGAGCTCCTTTTTGATCGATCACACAGTGCATTCATCACGAAAGGCCTTTGACCAGAATCTATTGTCTACAGTCTATTGCTCTATTGTCTCGACCATAGACTGTAAATATTAACAGATGTAGTCACTTCTATCTCAGCCGATCAAACTAATGTATATCTAATATATACTCCCCTCAGCATCGACAGCATCTGGAACTAAGAGGACCAAGAGCCACTTTTGGACCAAGAACCACTTTTGGACCAAGAGCCACTTTTGGACCAAGAACCACTTTTGGACCAAGAACCACTTTTGGACCAAGAGCCACTTTTGGATCAAGAACCACTTTTGGACCAAGAACCACTTTTGGACCAAGAACCACTTTTGGACCAAGAGCCACTTTTGGACCAAGAGCCACTTTTGGACCAAGAACCACTTTTGGACCAAGAACCACTTTTGGACCAAGAGCCACTTTTGGACCAAGAGCCACTTTTGGACCAAGAACCACTTTTGGACCAAGAACCACTTTTGGACCAAGAGCCACTTTTGGACCAAGAACCACTTTTGGACCAAGAGCCACTTTTGGACCAAGAACCACTTTTGGACCAAGAACCACTTTTGGACCATCCTGTAACGTATTCGAAAAGAAAGAAGACGCCATACAAAATCATTGGGTAATTCTGTTTCCTGGTACACCCCCACCGTGGGGAGTGAGATTGCAGCGAGTCAGCGCACATGCTCATGGAGCTTTTTGAACCGGGACCCGCACTGGTCTCATCAGGCTGCACCACATGGTTCTTACCGAAGGCCTGCAGTTTCCCCGAGTGGAAGTCGTCGAGCAGACTGAGCAGGCCCTTCTCCATCTCCTGCACATCGGACACATCTGTGAGGAACGAGTGCTGCACGATGGGGGCGCTCGGGCCCTGAGTGGGGGTCCTCGAGCCGAATGGATAGCGCCCTTTGTCTTTGCCTGGTCTAAAACACAACGCCATCCTCCGTCAGAATGAATGAATGTGGAAGGCAAACATCATAGGGAAGATTCTATACAGTTTGTCTGCTTTGGCTTTTTAACCATACAATTTTTCTTTTGTTTTCTTCCTCGTGAAGTTTAACAAAGATACAAGAGAGGGGAAGTGTAAGACAAATAAATTACAATTAGGTTCAGACTTGGTTAAATGCAGAACATGTGTGGAAGAAGCTTGTAGCGAATGATGACAAGAAAACAAGGTAAAAGTTAAAGTTAGAAAAAATAATATTGCATTGTATATTGGTAAGGTTTTTGTGTGATAACTATGATACTATCGATAAGCAATCAGAATAGACATAGCAAGAAGCAAACATACAGTAACATCTGCAGCTGACACTCTGCGTATCTACAGCAGAACTGTATAGAGAAAGTATCCACAAATATTCCAAATGCTAAAAGAATAAACGCAAGTCAGTAGTTGAGGCAGAGACTGACCTCCGGCCTCGGCTCCTCTGGCTCGAGTTGGTGCCCATGGTGTGGCCCAGAGGTCGGCCCCCGCAGGAGCTGCTCTTGCGGATGGACCCAGAGGGAGCGACGCCGGCTCCGCTGCTGGACGTCCTGGGACTCCTACGCTTCAGCTTCTTCTCCTCCATCTCTGGGACATGTTCAGACGACCCGGGTCGAGCTGGACGCAGGACAGAGGCAGGGGTCAGAGGAGAGAGGAGTGAGGAGAGAGGAGTGAGGAGTGAGGAGAGAGGAGTGAGGACAGAGGAGTGAGAAGAGAGGAGTGAGGAGAGAGGAGAGAGGAGAGAGGAGAGAGGACAGAGGAGTGAGAAGAGAGGAGTGAGAAGAGAGGAGAGAGGACAGAGGAGAGAGGAAAGAGGAGAGAGGACAGAGGAGAGAGGAAAGAGGAGAGAGGACAGAGGAGAGAGGACAGAGGAGAGAGGACAGAGGAGAGAGGAAAGAGGAGTGAGAAGAGAGGAGTGAGGAGAGAGGAGAGAGGAGAGGGGTCAGAGGACAGAGGACAGAGGAGAGAGGAGAGAGGAGAGAGGACAGAGGACAGAGGAGAGAGGAGAGAGGAGAGAGGAGAGAGGACAGAGGAGAGAGGACTGAGGAGAGAGGAGAGAGGAGAGAGGACAGAGGAGAGAGGACTGAGGAGAGAGGAGAGGGGTCAGAGGACAGAGGACAGAGGAGAGAGGAGAGAGGACAGAGGAGAGAGGACTGAGGAGAGAGGAGAGAGGAGAGAGGACAGAGGAGAGAGGAGAGAGGAGAGAGGACAGAGGAGAGAGGACTGAGGAGAGAGGAGAGGGGTCAGAGGACAGAGGACAGAGGAGAGAGGAGAGAGGACAGAGGAGAGAGGACTGAGGAGAGAGGAGAGGGGTCAGAGGACAGAGGACAGAGGAGAGAGGAGAGAGGACAGAGGAGAGAGGACTGAGGAGAGAGGAGAGAGGAGAGAGGACAGAGGACAGAGGAGAGAGGACAGAGGAGAGAGGACTGAGGAGAGAGGACAGAGGAGAGAGGACAGAGGAGAGAGGACTGAGGAGAGAGGACTGAGGAGAGAGGACTGAGGAGAGAGGACAGAGGACAGAGGAGTGAGGAGAGGACAGAGGACAGAGGAGTGAGTGGAGTAACTCTACTTTCTGAAAATCATATGAATTCATACTTTCTTACATTATGTTTTAAGGTTAAAAAAGTCCGAACCCTCTGGACCTGACTCTGCTCGTTAGAATCTCGGACTCACTCCCAAACTTTAATCAGCCTCAAACCCATCTGTTCACACAAGCTTTTCCAGAAACCCTTTTTTACCAAGCGTCTTTGAATGTCAAAAACAAGGGCTATACAAGTTTGACACATCACTACTAGTACTATTATTATTATTATTATTATTATTCATAAAGTCAAGATTCCATGTTTTCTGGGTGTTAAATGCAGCTGTTGAAGCACTTTAACTTGTTTTACCAAAATAAACAACAAGAACGTACTTTATTTATTTAAAAAGTATTGATAAACAAGAATGTACCATATATTTATATATAAATAATAATAATAATAATAATAAAAGTAAGTCTAAGTATGCCGGACACAGGTACTATTGTTTCCAAAGTAAAAGAACCCTGACCTGTGACATACTCTGCATTTTATTATTAAGTATTCTCCCCAACACTGTGTGTTTATAACCCAAACTACAGTCACATCAGAATCAGTCTGACTGAAATGGACCGACAGTCACATCAGAATCAGTCTGACTGAAATGGACCTACAGTCACATCAGAGTCAGTCTGACTGATATGGACCAACAGTCACATCAGAATCAGTCTGACTGATATGGACCAACAGTCACATCAGAGTCAGTCTGACTGATATGGACCGACAGTCACATCAGAGTCAGTCTGACTGATATGGACCAACAGTCACATCAGAATCAGTCTGACTGATATGGACCGACAGTCACATCAGAATCAGTCTGACTGAAATGGACCGACAGTCACATCAGAATCAGTCTGACTGAAATGGACCGACAGTCACATCAGAATCAGTCTGACTGAAATGGACCGACAGTCACATCAGAGTCAGTCTGACTGATATGGACCGACAGTCACATCAGAATCAGTCTGACTGATATGGACCGACAGTCACATCAGAGTCAGTCTGACTGATATGGACCAACAGTCACATCAGAGTCAGTCTGACTGATATGGACCGACAGTCACATCAGAGTCAGTCTGACTGATATGGACCAACAGTCACATCAGAGTCAGTCTGACTGATATGGACCAACAGTCACATCAGAATCAGTCTGACTGATATGGACCAACAGTCACATCAGAATCAGTCTGACTGAAATGGACCGACAGTCACATCAGAATCAGTCTGACTGATATGGACCGACAGTCACATCAGAGTCAGTCTGACTGAAATGGACCGACAGTCACATCAGAGTCAGTCTGACTGATATGGACCAACAGTCACATCAGAATCAGTCTGACTGATATGGACCGACAGTCACATCAGAGTCAGTCTGACTGATATGGACCAACAGTCACATCAGAATCAGTCTGACTGATATGGACCAACAGTCACATCAGAATCAGTCTGACTGATATGGACCGACAGTCACATCAGAGTCAGTCTGACTGATATGGACCAACAGTCACATCAGAATCAGTCTGACTGATATGGACCGACAGTCACATCAGAATCAGTCTGACTGAAATGGACCAACAGTCACATCAGAATCAGTCTGACTGATATGGACCAACAGTCACATCAGAATCAGTCTGACTGATATGGACCAACAGTCACATCAGAATCAGTCTGACTGATATGGACCGACAGTCACATCAGAATCAGTCTGACTGAAATGGACCAACAGTCACATCAGAATCAGTCTGACTGATATGGACCAACAGTCACATCAGAATCAGTCTGACTGAAATGGACCAACAGTCACATCAGAATCAGTCTGACTGATATGGACCGACAGTCACATCAGAATCAGTCTGACTGATATGGACCAACAGTCACATCAGAATCAGTCTGACTGATATGGACCGACAGTCACATCAGAATCAGTCTGACTGATATGGACCGACAGTCACATCAGAGTCAGTCTGACTGATATGGACCGACAGTCACATCAGAATCAGTCTGACTGATATGGACCGACAGTCACATCAGAGTCAGTCTGACTGATATGGACCGACAGTCACATCAGAATCAGTCTGACTGAAATGGACCGACAGTCACATCAGAATCAGTCTGACTGAAATGGACCGAGTCACATCAGAATCAGTCTGACTGAAATGGACCGAGTCACATCAGAATCAGTCTGACTGAAATGGACCGACAGTCACATCAGAGTCAGTCTGACTGATATGGACCAACAGTCACATCAGAATCAGTCTGACTGATATGGACCAACAGTCACATCAGAGTCAGTCTGACTGATATGGACCAACAGTCACATCAGAATCAGTCTGACTGAAATGGACCTACAGTCACATCAGAATCAGTCTGACTGAAATGGACCGACAGTCACATCAGAATCAGTCTGACTGATATGGACCGACAGTCACATCAGAATCAGTCTGACTGATATGGACCGAGTCACATCAGAATCAGTCTGACTGATATGGACCAACAGTCACATCAGAATCAGTCTGACTGAAATGGACCGACAGTCACATCAGAATCAGTCTGACTGATATGGACCAACAGTCACATCAGAATCAGTCTGACTGATATGGACCAACAGTCACATCAGAATCAGTCTGACTGATATGGACCGACAGTCACATCAGAATCAGTCTGACTGAAATGGACCAACAGTCACATCAGAATCAGTCTGACTGATATGGACCAACAGTCACATCAGAATCAGTCTGACTGATATGGACCAACAGTCACATCAGAATCAGTCTGACTGATATGGACCGACAGTCACATCAGAATCAGTCTGACTGATATGGACCGACAGTCACATCAGAATCAGTCTGACTGATATGGACCAACAGTCACATCAGAGTCAGTCTGACTGATATGGACCGACAGTCACATCAGAGTCAGTCTGACTGATATGGACCGACAGTCACATCAGAATCAGTCTGACTGATATGGACCGACAGTCACATCAGAATCAGTCTGACTGATATGGACCAACAGTCACATCAGAGTCAGTCTGACTGATATGGACCGACAGTCACATCAGAATCAGTCTGACTGATATGGACCGACAGTCACATCAGAATCAGTCTGACTGATATGGACCGACAGTCACATCAGAGTCAGTCTGACTGAAATGGACCAACAGTCACATCAGAATCAGTCTGACTGATATGGACCGACAGTCACATCAGAGTCAGTCTGACTGATATGGACCGACAGTCACATCAGAGTCAGTCTGACTGATATGGACCGACAGTCACATCAGAATCAGTCTGACTGATATGGACCGACAGTCACATCAGAATCAGTCTGACTGATATGGACCGACAGTCACATCAGAGTCAGTCTGACTGATATGGACCGACAGTCACATCAGAGTCAGTCTGACTGATATGGACCGACAGTCACATCAGAATCAGTCTGACTGATATGGACCAACAGTCACATCAGAGTCAGTCTGACTGATATGGACCAACAGTCACATCAGAATCAGTCTGACTGATATGGACCGACAGTCACATCAGAATCAGTCTGACTGATATGGACCGACAGTCACATCAGAATCAGTCTGACTGATATGGACCGACAGTCACATCAGAGTCAGTCTGACTGATATGGACCAACAGTCACATCAGAATCAGTCTGACTGATATGGACCGACAGTCACATCAGAGTCAGTCTGACTGAAATGGACCAACAGTCACATCAGAGTCAGTCTGACTGATATGGACCAACAGTCACATCAGAATCAGTCTGACTGATATGGACCAACAGTCACATCAGAGTCAGTCTGACTGATATGGACCAACAGTCACATCAGAGTCAGTCTGACTGATATGGACCAACAGTCACATCAGAGTCAGTCTGACTGATATGGACCGACAGTCACATCAGAATCAGTCTGACTGATATGGACCAACAGTCACATCAGAATCAGTCTGACTGATATGGACCAACAGTCACATCAGAATCAGTCTGACTGATATGGACCAACAGTCACATCAGAATCAGTCTGACTGATATGGACCAACAGTCACATCAGAGTCAGTCTGACTGATATGGACCGACAGTCACATCAGAATCAGTCTGACTGATATGGACCGACAGTCACATCAGAATCAGTCTGACTGATATGGACCAACAGTCACATCAGAATCAGTCTGACTGATATGGACCAACAGTCACATCAGAATCAGTCTGACTGAAATGGACCAACAGTCACATCAGAATCAGTCTGACTGATATGGACCGACAGTCACATCAGAATCAGTCTGACTGATATGGACCGACAGCTCCGGGATCTGCGACACACTCTAACAATAATGACAGTTCTGGTTCTTCACTCACAGGAGGAGGTTTCGGGTCCTGCTCCACAGAAACAGCGTCAGGTCATGGCTTTGGTCCGATCATGGGCAGTCTTTGGACCGGGACCAGCTCTCTCTGCAGCGGAGGAGCTAACGAAGCTAACGGAGCTAACGGAGCTAGCTACACACTTCCTGTTTGGCTCTGACGTCACAGCGGTACTTCTTCTTCCGGCTAATGTGGAAATAAGAATTTGTTTGTTATAAATGTTGTGTAAGTATTTTTTTTAAGTACATGAGTTCATACGTTTGATGCCTTCAGTGTCAATCTACCATTTTCATAATCATGAAAATAAAAAACTCTTTGAATGAGAAGGTGTCCAAACTTTATCTCTGTGCTGTAGTCCAATAGTGTCAGTTGTGATTTCAGTGTTTGCTGTGTTTTGTTTGGAACAGATGTGACGTCAAGAAATACTGAAATACTGATAACGTCGTGACGTATTTTACGTTTTCTCCATGGATGTATTAGGTTTTCTCACACTCACAGACACAGTTCCAGCTTCTTCCTCTAGAGGGCGACAGAGGACAGCGCTGCTCTTTCCACTGAGGTCTGAGCAGATCCACGGATCTTTAAAATCCACAAACTAAAGTCCGCGTGGCTCTAAGTCCCCAACTAAAGTCAGATTGTGGCGGAGGTACATTCAAGCCCGTCATTATGAAGTATTTTGGTCAAAAATAAAGTTAAGGTGCAGTATTTTCCTACAAACTAATGTCGAGAGTTTCGCTCTTTTTTCACTTTTGACTGTCAAAGATTAAAGCTGAGGTACGCAACTTTCAGACCACAGCCATAGAAGTGTGTGATTAAAGCCACGTCTCTGGCTCCAGGATATTAACTGTTTTATTTTATTTTATGTATTTTTATTTCCATGTTTTTATGCGACTCACTTCTGCAGGTTTTTTTGGAACATTGTTTTTTGACAATCGTGTTTATTAATTTCTACAACGCAACATGAGGAATGTTGTTAATGATACGATGTAGAAAGCATAAAACTAAAATAGTTAAAACTAAAAATGGTTAAAACTATCTAAAAACGCAGGAGAATAATTAACGTCCAGTGTTTTTGTCTGTGAATCTCCTCATTATTAATATTAATATTAATATTTCTTTTGGGATTTGAACAATTGGAAACGTATAATATTGTTTTATTTGTGAAGACGACATTTTCACATCGAGAAGAAAATGTTCGATTCATGTAAAAAAGATGAAAAAGCTGCAAAGAAACAACTCAAGGTTTTCAGTTGTGTGTGAGTGTGTGTCTGTGTGTGTATGTGTGTGTGTGTGTGTGTGTGTTGTGTTCCATCCTTCACAGACTCAGAGCGATCATT